TTACAAATACAACGTCGCGTTCTTACGTGATCTTGTATTTTTGGTTCATGGTATCAACAGTTCATTTGGCTTCATATCATGTAAATGCACCATAATGTTTCACATAAATATTTCGTGTTGCCAGCCTCTGAACTGAAAAGATTCTTTTCTAATAAATTTTAAACATCTGGTAACTTTACAATGTGTATACGGCAATGCTGAAAATTTTTCTACAAACACGTGTGGTAGAAAAAAGCGAGGTTCTGCCATTTTGTCGTGGGTTCGATTCGTTGAAGGATTTATTTTGAAGAAATACAAGTTCTATTTTCACTATGAAGCAAAAGAAGGGAAATGTTAGCCTAAAATCACCTCTAAACAGTGTAAAAAATGATAGTATTGTGAAGAAGCAACATATTTCGGGAGCAAATACTCCTGCTAAAGGGACACCCGGAAAGGTTAACCAAAAGAAAACGGGGAAAACTCCAGTAAAAGTGGTACCACCAAAGAAAGTTGAGGAAGAGGAGGAGGATGACTCCGAAGAGGAAGAAGATTCTGGCGCCGATGTCGCGGCTGGTGTAGCCGATGATGCAGGAGACTCCGGTGCCGAAGAACAAGATGAGGACGTCGCCGAAGATGAGGATGAGGATGACGAAGATGAAGATGAGGATGGCGGAAATGGAGATCTAGATAATGATGCAGAGCAGGATGATGACGAACCTGTTGAAGCCCCTATTGGACGCAAAACGACTGAAACACAAAAAGTTTCAAAATCTAAGAAGGCTAAGGCAGCAGTCGAAATTGGTGTCCCTAAAATTAAGACTGGCGCTCTTCCTAAAGACTTCCCACAAGACCAAGTTCTTGTTGTTAAAAATCTCCCCAAACGTAAGTAGAATCTATTGCATACATATAAAGCCTGATACAGGTATATAAGGGTTTGCAGGTTGGGAAAATATTCGAGTAATGTGTCAGGACCTGAAAAAAAGGTTTAGAGAGGTGTCTCCACATTCGAAAACTGAATATCCCCACCGCAGGGAGCTTAAAGTTTAAAATTTTTTCGTTTTTAAAATATCGAATTTTTGCATGTTTAAAAGCTTAATGAACTAAATGGTGTCGGTGGCACATACTTAGGGCTTGTTCGAGTTGCAATCACAACCGCAGTCTTGCGCGAATTATTAAAGTATCACGTTCTGCGTGAATTTCTTGTAATATATTAGTTGTGTTTTTATTACAAATTATCCAGTAACTTGCCAGCAGCTCTCCAGTAACTATTTTTAAGAATTCGCTCTCATAGAAAAAATTTGCAATAAAGTATGCGAACGCTTTTCCAGTAATAATTTGCAAGTTTCATGAACAGCTGATAAATTGGTTGTTTATTCGCAGCAAATTCCTAATAAAACAATATATTTTGTATTTAAATAGGTTTATTTTGTGAAATTCAACAATAAAAACCCACACACAGTTTCCTTATTGGTTTAAATTTCATCCAGCAACATGCGATCAGCTGGATTACAAGTAAAAATTTATCCAGTAAAATCCAGTAAAAACTTGCAACTTCAACTGTCATTTTTCGCTCTCTCCATTTCCCCTACTTGCAAGTTTTTGCGTACGAAAACGCCAAAACATGAAAATTCGTAAAAACTTTTACTGGATTTTACTGGAAATGAGTAAAAAAACGCAACTAATATCAGTTGGGCAGTTGCATCAATGCTGCCATTTTTCATCAGTACGGCAGTAATGCCGCTTTTATTACGTGCCTCGAACAGGCCCATACCTACCTTAACAACGGCTATGGGATAAATAATAATTCGCACATAACTCTTTCCACGTCGTCGGAATTTTGTCTGTGTGGCCGGGTAAGGAAGCGGGCCCCGTCTTCTGTTCCAGGCTATATAATAGGAAATTAACATGATTCAACTTTCACAGGCGATTAGTTGAAAGCTCTGCTACATTCGACTAAAAGCTGCCGGTTAAATCGCCTTCCCATGAAATTTTTTAACGATTATAACAAATGAAATTAAATATTGTGCCTAATTATCATTGAACATTATAAAAGTTGTTTTCGTCTCCTGAGACGACAATCGTTAGACTAAAAACTTGTTCATCTTCTAATTATCTGACTTATTTTTTTCTCGTCTCGCTGGACGATTATTTTACAATGGAAATTATGGGCTTGTTCGAGTTGCAATCATAACCGCAGTGTTGCGCGAATTATTAGAGTATCACGTTCAGTGTGAATTTCTAGCAACGTATTGTCAGTTGGGCAGATGCAACAGTGTTGCAAAATTTCATCAGTAACGCAGTAATGCCGCTTTTATTGCATGGCTCGAACAGGCACTATTTCCTTCTCATAATAGTTATTTATTTATTTATTTATTGAATAAAATTATAGTTTAAAAAACTAAAATCTCCCTATTATAATTGCCATTCGTACTGTCATCAGGTATGTAACTTGAGAATACAAATCGCTGCATCTTTTAGGCGCATCAATATTACATAGTTACATCTAGAGCTAATAAAAGGAAGGTAAAAATAGCCTACGGCTAATAGAATTATTCTTATATACAATTAAAATTTCAAAATTAACAGCCAGTTGGCTATGACATTATAAATTTTAATTATAAACTAAATTATCTTATTGATTTTTGTTACAGTCTTGCGAATTCACGAGGTACATGCATATTTATATCACTTACGAAGTATACATACATACATACATATATATTTATATGTTTCAATATTTCTAGAACTATCGAATGATTTAGTTGCGTAGCTGGCGAGGCCTAGTCTCCAGTCTCCCTTAATGTCTACCTTAATGTGCATCAGGCGAAAAGGCCTAGTTTCCGTTCCTCTGCTAACGAGCTTTCGATCATGGTCGGAAAGGCCGAGTTTCCGATCCATGTTCTCGAAGTCACTCATATGCTACCGCTCCCGCTCGGTTTCGTGCTGAGCAAACCGTCTGAATGACTGTGTTCGAGCGATATTCGTTTTCTTCATTCATACTTTCATTGCCACTTCTTCGTCGATGTTAGGCAGGCGGAAAGCCCAACTTCGCTCCGGCTACTGCAGCAGGTTAAACTCCTACCTGAGTAGATTGAATGAGGATGTGCCAAATTAGTGTCCGGCATGCGGAGAGACCCCACATGACTCGAAACATCTCTTCGCATGCCCGGAAAACCCGACAACCCTAACGGCCTTGTCCCTGTGGACCAACCCTACAGAAGCTGCAAGCTTCCTAGGGCTGCCGTTAGTGGAACTTGATGACAACGACTGAGATACCAACCGTCCTGGGCGGGGTTGTTGTAGCCGCTACAACAACAACAACCACAACCTCGTTTCCGCTCTGCGCTGTGGACGGCTGCTGGACATGGTCGGAAAGGCCGGAGAACTCATGCTATCGTTTTTATTGAGTATTGGTTTGGAAAAAATGGATTGCCCGCGTCCCTACCTGAGAGCATCCACTTTTATGTTCCGAGCCGTAATTTGCGTCGCTTTGATGTTTTTGAGGTTGGGTTAAGCAGAACGGTTTATGGTGCAAACGCGCCAATAAACAGAACTTTATCGGATTGATACTATTTCTCAAACTTGTTAGACATATATTTTACCAGTACTAGGACAACCGCATTAGGTTTGGAAAGATACCTTATATCCATGCAAAAACATCTTACCAATTTCTAATTTCTTACTCTGTCGAAATTTTGTATTTCGTGTATATGTAAGTAACCTTATAAAGATAATTTTTAAGTAGCCAATTTATTATTAAGACTGATTGGTTATATTTAATCAGAGACCGAGAATAATAATTATTTCATGGTGGAGTTTTAAAAAAAGTCATCAAAATTTTCGTAAGAATTATAAAAGTCAAAGAAATTTTTTGTAAGTCATCGATAACTATTATTTTAAAACTTATACAATAGAAGTCTTTTCATAATAACTATCAGCGAGATAAATATTTTTAAGTCTTCAAAGACTTTTATTGGTGGACTTATTTTATAAAAGTCTTGTCATAATAATTATTATTGAGATAAATATTTTTAAGTCTTCAAAGACTTTTGTTTTGAGACTTATATTATAAAAGTCTTTTGATAACGCCCAACCTTTTCAAATTTCCCCAGAGCTGTTTAGGAGGCAACGATACGTTAAGCTTTGCGCAGAAGAAGTTCTTCTTAGCTAGCCGTACAGAAACGTGCCCGGAATTCGGCTAAATTTGAAAAGGTTGGGCGTGCGGTCAAGCTCAGAAATACCCTGCTCGTTTGATCCCAATGAACTCAATAATTTTTATGCTTCAAGTAGTTGCTTGACTAATTACACGTCTGTAACAAATACCACTTCTTCGTCTTCTGACCAACACACCCTCTCGAGATTTCAATTTAGTTCCGTTTGTGAGGAGGAAGTGGCCAGATGTGTATGCAGTATTAAATCTAATGCTGTGGGGAATGATGAGCTTCCGATAAAGTTTGTCAAATTAATTTTGCCTTACATTCTCGCTTGCTTTACACACATACTCAATCACTGTTTAACCACTTCGTGCTTTCCATCTAAGTGGAAAGTAGCAATAGCACACCAATAGCCAAAAAACCTGGTGCCTCTCTGATTTGTGAATTCAGACCCATAAGTAGATTAACAGGACTTTCTAAGGTTTTTGAGATGCTTTTAGCGCAGCAAATATCCGACTTCATTCATAAAAATAAACTCCTAAACCCTCTGCAGAGTGGTTTCACAGCTGGTCACTCCTGTTCTACTGCTGTTGTTAAAGTCTTAGACGATATACGTCAGCCATTCGATCAAGGTCATTTAACACTACTTTGTCTGCTTGATTTTTCTAAGGCTTTTGATTCTGTAAACCACAATTCATTGTGTGAAAAACTAGCTAAGTATTTCAGCTTCAGCAAAACTGCAGTAAAACTCATAGAGAGCTATTTGAGCGACAGGTTTCAAAAGGTGAAAATCGGCAATAATTGTTCTAACCTCGTGCATATATACTCTGGTGTCCCTCAGGGATCCATATTGGGCCCCCTTTTGTTTAGCATTTTCATAAATGACATTTTCAGCACCTGCACTCATGCGCGCTTACACGCCTATGCCGATGATGTGCAGCTGTATGTTTCTAATAAAATTGGATCGATTCAGGATATTTGTCTACAACTTAACGAGGACTTAAGCTCAATATTTGCATGGTCTAGGGAGAATTTACTTTGCCTCAATGCTCAAAAATCTTGTGTAATACCTGTCGCTAAAGATAAATTTTTGGCATCGGATATTCCCAACTTATTTATTGGTGCCAACCAGCTTAAATTAGTTGACAAAGCCAGGAATTTGGGTTTCGTTATTAACTCTAGACTTGCGTGTGATGATCATGTTAATGAAGTTGTGAGTAAAATATTTTTTACTCTACGATGTCTTAGAGTAACCTCACCTTATGTACCGGTAGCCACTAAGAAAAAGTTAATTACAAGTTTAATTGTTCCTTATATCACGTACTTTGAAATCGTCTACGGCAAATTAGACTCTCATTCACTCCATTACTCTGCCACAAGGTATGTATTTGGTTTAAAGAAATACGATCATCTCTCATCTATGCGTAATTCTATACTTGGCTGTGATTTACAAAATTTTCTGAACGCGCGTAATTGCATTTTTATGTTCAAATTATTTATCACGAAGAGCCCGGAATATCTGTACAATAAACTTAAGTTGTCCAAGAGTACACGTTCGTCAGGTCTTATTCTTCCGAGATTTAACTATTTATGCACTTCAAGACTGTTTTTTATTAATGCGGTAAGGCTCTGGAACTCCCTTCCACTGTCCTTGAAGAACGCGTTGCACATAGGCAACTTCAAAAAACTCATATTTAACTTTTTTTCTTCCAAGCGTGATCAAGAATAGTCGTTATAAGCTTACCTTTGTTTTATTTTAGAATATATGATTTGTAATTCAACGTACACATTACCTTAATCTATATTGTAATATTAATTATTATCTGTACTTTTTATTTTATTTCTTGCAATTTGTTTGTATCATTGTGCAAGTTAAGATTACATCTTAATGCACTAATGTTTTCAATATAATATTAAATTAAATAAAATAAATAATAATTATGAGTGCCAAAAAATTTTTTATGTATCGAACGGGTCCCCAAACTACTCCCCAACTAATCCCCACCTAACCCCGAACAGGTCCCCACTAATCCGGAAATGCGCCTGAACAAGTCCCGTCTTTGAAGACTTAAAAAATTTTTTCGTGCTCATAATTATTATGAAAATACTTTTATAATATAAGTCTTTAAAATGAAAGTCTTTGAAGACTTAAAAATACTCAATGATAATTATTATGAAAAAACTTTTATAATAAAGCTCTTAAAATAAAAATCCTTGAAGACTTAAAAATATTTATCTGTCTGATAATTTTATAATATAAGTCTTTGAATAATAATTATAGATGACTCGAAAAATATTTATCTTAATATAATGATTTTTGATTGACTTTTATTCTTTTCTCTTATAATAGTTATGTCTCTGTATTTAATATCCTCTTATGTCTGTAAAAACATTACTTCGTTATTAGACTAAATAAATAAATAGATAAATATTTTTTTAACTGATGAATTAAGATTTTGATTTTTTAAACCCTTTCAAACACATTTCGATTGATTCCAATATTATAGTAATTCATTTAACTTACCAAATAATTTGAATTTAACTATTTAAACGGGTGACAACCCTCTTTAAACACCTCAAAAATATGCTTAGTGTTCAAATTACAGATTTTTTAACACTCTTGCATTTGACATATTTTAATGATTTATTGCGTATAAATTAACTAAATTCGGCTTTTCAAGCAGCTGGCAACCCTCTTCAAGTATTTATAAACCAACTATTTTCGTCTGGCGCCCATATGGTGATAGATATTTCTATTACTTAAATTTAATTCAAGTTGAATTTACTTTATTAAACAGGTGGCAACCCTCTTCAAAATATTTACTAACCTTCTTAACTCTCTTCGTCTGGCGCCCATATGGTGATAGATATTTCTATTACGTAATTTTAATTCAATTTGAATTTAATTTATTAAACATGTGGCAACTTTCTTACAGTTAAGTTGATAAACAAAGTTTTTAAAACCATTTCGATTGATAATCATTTTGTAATAATTGGCTTAACTCATGATACAATAAAATTATAGTTTAAAAAACTAGAACCTTCCTATTATAATTGCCATTCGTACTGTCATCAGGTATGTAACTTGAGAATAGAAATCGCTGCATCTTTTAGGCGCATCAATATTACATAGTTACATCCCGAGCTAATAAAAGGAAGGTAAAAAAGAAGGTAGTTTCAATAAACAACCTTAGACGGATAATAAAACTTTTGAAGTTTCATAAATTGTAAGTATACTCAACGGCCTTGCCACTTTGATAATATTAAAACAATAACTCTGAGTATTTTCTTTCCCATATTTATACCAATGTAATAACATTTGAAATCAAAAACCATTATCAGTGCTTGGTACTTCTTTTACTTACGTGGTTCGCACCTTTTTTTATTAAAAATATTTCAAATGTAAACTGTTAAAGGAAACTTCATCGTAATTGTCATTTTCATTTTGTAATAAAAACCACGCGCCCATTATTCTGTTATTTGTTTGTTTTTTTATTTTGAATGCAATCTTGGGATTTAAAAATCGAATCCTTAAAAATGTTCTTCCCAAATAAAACCTTTTTATATTTCGGTTCAAATTTACTTTTAAATTTCTCATAAGATTTTGCAAAAAATTTGGCTTTGTGATTAGCGCATCATCATTAAATTTCACAAATTTTTAATTTATGCAAAACACCTGAAGTCGGCTTGAACAGTCCGCCCTTCGATAAACAACTAACAGATCTTCGCTTAAAGTACGAAACCGTGTACCAACAAAATGCACAACTGCGTATGTGAGGTTGCATAAATTATTTGGTAGAGTAAAAACACTCATATTTCAAAATGGTCATGTTATCATTATATTAGGTACTTTTTTACAAAGAAATCGCATTTCAGGACGAATGGATAAGGCGTAAGCCAAGAGCTTGTGTGAGCAAATCCAATTTTTGGCAAAAAATGTCAGTTACGCGGTTTTGCAGAACGACGATACGCGGTTTTGTACTCTAAGCGACGATATGTAAGTATACACTTTCTTCATGCTTTCTGAAACCTATCGTCAACCCCATTTTCGAAATCATGTAGCCGGCATAATTTTCTAGTTCATCATATTCCACATCTTTGAATGTACTGATAAAATCTTCTGCTTAAAAAAAAAAATATTTCTTCTAGTGATCAGATAGCATGAATTTGATGAAATGTCATAATTTTATTAAAAGTCAAATGGTTAACAACAACAACGAATGTCATTACATGAAACTTGTATCATGGTTTAACTTTTTAAATAATTAGAACGTAATTTTTCAAAGGTGGAAACTCGACGAAAAAGTAACACCTTTTTGCACATCTATAGCTCAAGCTCTTTAATTTGATTCCTCAGTTTTGAAAATTGAACGAACGGAGCGGTTTGATTATTAAATATTTGGAATTACATTTTTTAACAGGTGGCAACTGTTCGAAATACTAAAACCAGTTTGCACATCTACAGAGCAAGCCCTTTAATTTGACATCCCAAAAATCCCTTCGTGTATAATATATATAGAAGGTATAGATATCCTTTTGGAAAGGGTACTTAAGTATCCGAAAAAAAAGCTTTAGTTAAATTAACCCTCCTTCAACATCCTAAGAGATTTTCGTGTGAAAACCCGTGATAATTTGCATAAAAATGCAATTGGTGCTTTATATGATAGTAACGCCATTGTTTCCTGTAAATTCCTGCAAATCCCTGCAAATCCTGAAGTACCTAATATAATGATAACATGATATAATGTAATTATATACCTTTACAGAATATAAGCAAATCGACCTTGTGGAAATCTTTGCAAAGTATGGTACTTTGCATACAATCCATAACATTCATGGCCCAGTTAGTAGCGTCGCTTACATTGCATATACGGCACCTGAAGAAGCAGAAGCCGCACAAGCAGCAACAGATAATAACGCAAAAGTAAAGGGTATAACAATAAATGTAAACGTTCAAACACCAAATCCAAAAAAAGTTAAGAAAGCCGAAAGTAAACAAAAGACTTCTGAAGAAAAGCAGACAGCAATTGAAGATAAAAAACGCAAAATTCAAGAAAGCAAGTCGCGCACTGTGTATATTAAAAGTTTGAAATCTGGTACTACTGAAGATCAAGTGCGGGAGCATTTTGCTGAATGCGGTGAAATTGAGAGTGTGAATGTGTTTTCCCGACACCAACATTCGTATGGTTTTGTTTGTTTTGAAGATGAATCTTCAATTGCGGCTGCAACCAAACTACATAACTCAGTTCTTAATGGAATGAACATTTGGGTACTTCAGAGTGATCAACAAGTGAAAGAAGTGACAAAGGACCCTCAACGCACTATCCTAATAAAAAATAATCAGAGTTTAGGTACAGCAAAATATAAGAAGCTTTATTACAATATACTATATCTCTTATAATTACAGAAAGTATTGATCCTGCAAAATTGGATTCAATTTTCTCTAAATGCGGAGAAATCGAATCCACTTCTATTTTGTGCAAAAAGAACGTTTTGGCATTTATAACATTTAAGGATGAGAAAGGTGCCAAGAAGGCTTTAAAATTAAATGGTTCCAGCTCACAGGGTCTTGACCTGGAAATCGAAGAGTATAAGGTGATCACACCTAAGCACAAAACTACTGTATTTATTCAAAATGTCAAACCTGGTAAGCAAAGAATTTAATGTAAATTTAAAATGTTGCTTAACATTTAAGAAGATTTTATATTCCATAGATATTAGGTTCTATATAGGACTGTTTACATTGTTTTTTTTTTTAACTGATTTAATGAAAACTTTTGAATAGTATTATCTACAATGTTTTTGGAGCTGCAGCTCCACCCAAGCCTTTAATGTTGGAGGAATTGAACATCGTACAATTGTGCTACGGATATGCCATAAACCAATGGAATTTCATGCCAATAACTGGAATTTCGATTTACTTTTCATGATAGTGCTTCCTTGCCACTAAAACATGAGTCCGTTGAATAACTGGAATAAGTAATGTAGGCGGTCGCCATTCCAGTCCAGCGCCGCCCTGGCTCATGGCCTGAAATAATGTAAACGGGTCATAATAACAAAAACAACGTGAAAGTATTTGAAACTATGAAGGTTTTTTGTATCTGTTCGAATCATTCCAATTAAATTTATGTCATTAAATATGCATACATATTTTTTAGCCCTTCACTCCAAAACTACTAGATTACTTACATAATATAATGACTGAGTTTAACACGCTTTTGTAATTTTTTGATCAAATTGTTAATTTTGAAGACTGCGAACTGTTTTGATGGTGTTCAATATCTCCTAAAATACAATCCCGTTTATCTGCATTACGAGTGGGAAGATTGTAGTTTTTTGTAGTTTGCATAATTGCGCTATTATAGGTGTGGTTTATAATACTCAAGTCCTGGGCAACTTCCAGGATTATTTGGTATACTCTATTTAATGTCCACTGTTCCAAAGTAAGAAAGTATTGTTCTATTCCAAAATGCTCTAGCTAAACTAATGAAAAAGGTTTTTCTTAACAGCGGTCGTCCCTTGGCAGGCAATGGCAAACCTCCGAGTGTATTTCAGCCATGAAAAACAGCTTCTCATAAAAGTACAATCGCCGTTCGGAGTCGGCGTAAAACTGTAGGTCCCTCCGCTTTGTGTGACAACATCAAGGCGCACGCCACAAATCGGAGGAGAAGCTCGGCCAAACACTAACATATGTGTAAGCGCCAATCTATTATTATTATTATTATTTTAAACTAATGATCTTTGAGAGAACAGATTTATCATTTTCGATCCTCTGTGCAAACTTTAAATAAAATTGCACCTAGCGCCTGCCCGGCGGGCATATTCGCGTATACATACACGCTCTGCTTTAGAAGGCAGCGAAAGCTTCATTCAACCACACGACTTGTTCGCACGCAAACAGTGACATCAATTTCTCGCACACTACAAAAATTCTCTGTCGAAGCTGCCCAGCTCTGTTTTAGAGATTAATAGATCATGTATAGAGTTTTAGGGGCGACGAGTTCAAATATAATTTGTGACACTTTGTTATGTATATGAATTTATATTTATATAAAATATTTTAGGTGTGACTGAAAACGAAATTCGCGAGATATTTGCTTCGACGGGTCCAATCGAGAGTGTAAATGTACTGGGTGGCTTTGCTACAGTAAAATTCGAAGATACTGAAAGCTTTTGTAAAGCTTTCTTATTAAATGAAACATATATCCGAGGACAATTGATATTTTTGGAGCCATATTCGGAGAGGAAACAATCTATACTGAGAAATCAGAACAGAAAGAGACCAGCGCCATTTAACAAAGGAGGCCACAGCAAAAAGTTAAAAACTAACTAGACAAAACAGAGACATTAATAGAAAAGAATATTAAGCCTGCTGCCCTGAACATTTTAATATCTTTTCCCATAAAAAGTAATTTTTAAACTTAGTTATATATGTATAGTATGTATACAACCTTCAGAAAAAATATATAATAAATGCTAAAATGCGTGAGTATGATAAAATGGCATACAAAAATGATTAGTTTCTATTTACATTTTAGCGTTTCAAACGCTTGTAAGTAAATCAAAGTGCAAAATAAAAATGAAAACGAAAAGAGAAGCAGAAATCAGACAAGCAATGGGCAGAGGGCAGACCGGGTTTGGTCAATTGGCATGCCTGTTTCGCGAAAAATGAATATTTGCGCGAAATCGATTTAGCGCTTGCGCATGGATTTTTGCAAAGATGGAAGATTTTTCTTATTTCAGTTAAAATTTATAAAATTTTCCAAGATGATAGTAGTGTACTCGTACTCAAAACTATTAGAAGTTTTAGAAAACTTTCACAGGTTTTGCGTTCTCGTACCTAAACAATTTTCATCACAATAGGGCAAATAGAAAGGGCAATATGTGTTAGAGGTGAAAATTTCTGCGAACACTTGAAAGTAAGAAAATCAGCTGTTCATAAACATATGTTCAAGAATAAACAAAAAAAAATAAGACATTTTTTAATTATTTATTGCAAATTTTATAAGTAGGTGTACTACATACAACGAAAAAGAGAGAAAAGTTACTAAGCAAAATCTGGTGTCCTGGCGTTTACACCTCAGAAGTGAGATTGTTTCTCACAGCCTACAAAAGTCTGCATAAGAAGTTGCAGAGGAGACGGGAGGGAAAGACAGCCGTTGAATGTGAAACAAGGGAAAACAGTATTCTAAGAAACGTTGCCTCAACAAATTAGACGGTGAATCGCTCAAGTTGCAGAGAAGAACGAAGGAAAAGATAAAGCTGAAATTAGTCAAGAACGTACCGGTACGTAAACCCGAGTCAGTTGACACGATCTGTCTTACCAAAGCGCCATGTAAATGAAAACTCAACACCGCAGAATTTTTCTGTAGTTGTAGCCATGGTTGTAGCCCGTAGCGCAGAAATCTGCGGAATTTACGATTTTTCCGTGTCAGCTGGTTTCTCCTTCTTTAGATGGTTGCCACTTCGTCAGTTTTACAGATGGTAAAAAAGATATAAGTTCCTATTCAAAATATGTTTAAAATATTTGAAATTTACTATTGAATAAGGTTTTTGTTGAAAACTAAGTAGTTTATATTTAGCTAAAATCTATTATAGCACGAGAAATTGTAGTTGAAAGGGTAAGTTTATGAAAAGGTATTGATGAGTGGCAACAGTGTAGTAAGCAACACTGAGGGCTCCAGTAATCGACAAAATTCTGCGTATACAGACTGCGTTTAAGTATACGTTCTGCGTTTTCGACTAATTTCAGCTTAAGTGCCGATAAACGTATAATATCGACACGGAGTTGCCACTCGTTCAAAGAAGAGCAAAGCAAACAAAAGGTGCAATCCCGTATTCCTCGGACTCGGACTAGTAAAACTGTCAAAAAATAAAAATTCGCTCAGAGCGAGAGCGAATGGTAACTTCTGTCAACTTCAACATAACCTCCAAATTTTGGTTGTAAATTTTTACTTATTTTGTATGTAAACACACTCAGCTCACACATGTAAATAACCAAAAATACTTTCAAATTCATTAGAATCCACTTAAACAAGTAATTAAATACTTTTCAACATGAATTAGCAGAGTGCACTTTTCTTTTGTTTACAATTTGGTTGCCAAACACACTACAGCTGATCGTTTGACACATTTACCAGAATTTACCAGCAAAAAATTCTCGGCTAAAACTGGTAACTTCTGACAGAGAGAGAACCGTATTTACTCTCTTTTTTGACCTCTCAATAGTCAGAGAACCGAGTGCGGGATCGATTTCCCGTAAAATCTGACTGATTCTGACTATTTCTGACCAATCCGAACTCGTACGGGATCGCGCTTAAAGTTGCGGCACGCATGTCGATACGGCAGTCGTTACTGAAGTTGTAGCAGGGAGGCAGTGTAAAGTTTTCAACACAAAGAGTTTGGTTGGAAACGGAGTGCCAACAATAGTTGCGTTCCAGATGCTTCACGAAATTCACGATTTGCAGGAACAGCTGTTTTCTCCATTAATAAACCTTATGGGAGGTGGTCATCTGGAACGACTTCCTGTAAAAACCTGCAAATCGTGAAGCATCTGGAACGCAACTATTAACACGAGGAACAACCCAAGCATTTGCAGATTCGACCTAATAGTCTACGCGAAATTTATGCGCTCATGCCGGAGTACGATCCGTTGAAGAATAACTTAAGCAGTGAAGTGTTCATCGAAAAGGTAACACAGTTACGCAGGGCATACGATTTGACAGAGCAAGAGACTAGTAGCTGCGCAATCTAAGCTAGAAGGTGTCGCCAAGGAATGGCTAGTTTTGCAAGAGGTTTTCCAATCGTGGTTGGATTTTGTTCAAGCGTTTGAACGTGATTTTCCAGCATCGATGACGTCAGCACAGGTGCACCGCAATATGTCAACGGAAATGACAGTCACGTGAAACGTTTGAAGAATATTATTATGTGATGTTGAGTATGGGTCGACGAGGTAAGATGGACGAGGAGTCAATTAATGCATACGTCATATCAGGCTTGAACGATGCGATGTTATCACGCACACTACTAGCCCTTAAGTTACCAACATGCAATGATTTCCCATGATGCAATAATAGGTTCATTCCTTATCTTTTTGGACTAAAATCTGAAAAGTGTCAAAATGCCAGAGCGTAAGCAAAATGCGCTCTCTAAAAGAGAATAACAGGAAAAGTAAAGGAACGCAAAAAACCAAATTTTTAGTCCAAAGAATGGCAACAACAACACTAACGTCAAATAAGAACAGAAATGTATGTACAAAACACATTCACGCAAGCACAAGCACAATAAACACTTGCTATATCAATTATTTTTTGCCTCCTTCCAATTTCAATTCACTTCTTTTACTTTTTAGATTATTCTCACTTTTAGCGTATTCTTTAATTTCCGTTAATTTAAATTCAGTTGAGTTTGGCACTTTTCAGGATTTTGCCAGAAAAAATTCTTCTGACTAAATCTGACTACTTCGGACTGATGAGAGTCACTCTCACTGACTGTTGCTCTCTCATTTTTGCTGTCATTTCCGAGTTAAGGAACGCTTTTTGGACTAAATCTGACTACTTCGGACTTTTTCTGACTATTTCTGGGAGATAAGGAACGCTCCTAATACAAGGTGTTATCGGTTGGCAACTTCTCGCTCTAATTCCGCCATATTGACTGCCTTAGCTGAAACAGTGTTACTTGTTTAACAATTTTTCGCCTAATTATATAGTTGAATTTTTTTTATTTTTTCTCTGTATACACATTTTGTTTTCTCAAAAAGGTATTACATCTTATTTTATTTCATTTCATTGCGAATATACTATAAAAAAGCTAATTTTGTTTAGTGGAAAATATGAAATCTTATATTTTTCCCCCAAATGGGGATTCATTTCTTCCCGTTTTTCTTCTTATTCTACTGAGCTAAGGAAGTGTCAAATCGAGCTGACACAACTGATACCACCTTGTACTATTGCATCATGATGATTTACTACGCTCACTGAAGGGTATGGTCGTCGGTCCGACACAGCCTAGGGTAAATTCGAGTGAAGAAAAGAGTACAAGCGAGGCAGGTTCCAGAGCGACGATGGACAGGAAGCCAGTGAAGTGTTTCAACTGTAACGAATATGGGCATATCGGCAAAGGAAATTGTAGATTAACCATCGAGTCAGGCGTAATGCAAGTGCATCAGCAAAGTGAATCATCTTTCATAATCAACGAATATTTGGACGAAGCAGACATTCAAGGGGTGAGAAGCATTCTACAGTAATACGGAAGTTGCTTCACGGAAAGTTGGACTGAACTAGACGATGTAAGACAACACAGATGGAGATCCTCGTGACCACAGATCAACCGGTAATGGGAAGGCAATACCAGGTTCCGCTATATCAACGTCCAGTACTAGCAAAGATTATCAGCGATCTACTGGATAATGGCATTATTAGACCAAGTTCATCACCACACGCGGCACCCGTTATTCTAGTGAAGAAGTCCTATGTGTTGATTACCGTGCTCTCAACGCGGTAACGACGAAAAAACACTTTCCGATGCCTATTGTTGAAGAACAACTAGCAAAACTGGTAGGAAACATGGTCTTCACGACGCTGGACATGACAGCAGGATACTACCAGATTCCCAGCGTTCTTGACACCAGAGGGCTTATTTGAGCATAATGTGATGGAAATGATCACAAAGATGGTAAGAGGTCTAAAGCATCGCGACAAGATTGTAAGCTATGTCGACGAAGTTATAATTGCAACGAAGACGGTGGAGCAAAACATTGAGGTATTGTCCGAGTTTTTGAAAGCGGTCAAAGAATCCGGACTTACATTGCGGCCATCGAAATGTAACTTTCTGGCAACTAGGATCCAGTTCCTGGGACATATCGTGAGTGCAGATGGTGCGCAGCCCGGGGAAGGGAAAACAAAAAGCATCAGAGACTTCCCACGACCACGATCAACGACCGAAGTAAGGCAGTTCCTGGGATTAACCGGATATTTCCGGAAATTTGTCGAAGGCTACGGTCTCATAGCCAAGCCACTGGCCACATTGTTGAAGAAAGCAAAGTTCGAGTGATCGGAAGAACAAGAACAATCGTTCGCAAGACTAAAGGAAGTTTTAACTACGCAACCAGTTCTGGTCATGTTCGATCCAGGGAAGCAGCATGAGCTACACACCGATGCAAGTGCGGTGGGAGTATCAGGAGTCTAGCTACACCTGGAGAAGGAAGGTTGGAAGTAGCGTTGTAGCTCAGCCGAATCACGATATGCAAGCCATGAATTGGAGGTACTGGCAATTGTGGAGTCACTGGAAAGGTTCAGAGTCTACCTTCTGGGCACGACGTTTGTGGTACGAACCGAATGTAACGCCGTAGTTACGACGAAGAAGGTCACGCCACTGCGACCACGGGTAGCAAGATGGTGGCTACGCCTGCAGGAATTTGATTTCTCATGCGAACACCGACCGGGTGTCAACATGCAGCACGTTGATGCCATGAGCAGACTACCAGCCGAATCACCAACACAGCCGGATACAGTT